AGCTGGTCACGGCTGTCAGACCGATTTTAACAATTTTGTCTACGTGTAAGTTAGTTCTGAGCAGGCCGTAGAAGTGAGGAGGTGTGTCCTTCCTAAGTACAAATGTTGTATGACCTGCGTGCATTTGGCCTGAATGTTTTGTGTGTGTTCGAGATGTTTTCCTGTGTGTACAGTAGAGTAATTTTGAGAACTTTGGCAGCGGTGAGTTTGAACTGTATATTTTGTTAGCTAGGTTTTTTTTGTTATTTTTTTTTTAAAGAAAAAGTTATTGTTTCATTACTTTGTTAAGTTCAGTTTTATTTGTACTAGATAATGTACCCGACTTATTCAAGTATTCCGTATGAATGCGTTTATTGCCGACTATGGAAACCAAGACCTTTAAATAATGTGTTATTAAAGGTGACCAGCTGTGTATGTGCGTGTTTACAGTAGCAGGTGAACATTATGGCGTACTGAGACATTCGTGCAGCGTTGGAGGAAATCCTACGTACTAAGGCGTTGACGGCTAGAGGGACGTGCGACCTTTGGACAGTGTAGTAACCGTAATTCCATGAGTAACCAACAACTGTGTGTCCATGAACAGTATGCGGTAACGTCTTGGGTCAACCTCTGTGGTCTCGCCAGTCAGTGTTTCCGATTTTGATTTTATTCGCACATGGCAATGAAACATTTGTCGGGTCTGGTATGACTCTATTATAGTCGGTATATTGATACTATCATTATTATTATTTTTTTTTTTTTGTTTATTATTATTTTGTTTGTTTTTTTTTAATTTGTGCGAGTGTTGTAGATGTGCGTGTTGTGTGTGCAGGTGTGCAGATATTCTTTGCATTTTTTTTGAGCACTATAATAAACTTGTTTGCACGTACTCTTTGTTCTTTTTCAAAGATTTGGTTACAGCGAGGGAATATTTCCATGCCATTATCACAAATTGTGACAATGCACAATCACAACTACATGTAGTACTAACACTGTAAGTAGATGATAGGAACACAGTAATCTCTATTTGCCCTATTAAGCCATACAGACAGCTAGCATTGTCGATATCACATGTTTACATGATACAGGATATTTTTCTTTTAACCCATGTGTTTTTAAAATACATTACACTATAGCTCCTTCAAGTGATTTTTTTCTTTCAGTTGAATCACTTGGAATTGTCTTCATCTTACTCTTGTTTTTACCTAACAATGTCAATAGATTTGATAATATGGAACATGTCAGTTTCTGTTGAATAAACATTTCTATACAAGTAATTGTTTAAACCCGTTCATCATTATCTCAGATTGTACCTCGATAAATTTCTAAAGGTCAATGTTTCTGTTAGAAACACCGCACTAAAATAAAAATATCAATTTTCAAGCTAAAATAAGATGAAAAAAAGTCAACATTTAAATCAGCCTCTAGATGAAATCACATATGGTGAGAGAGAAGATGTAAAATGTCTTTTGATATAAAATGTATTTAGATGTACTTTGGTATGTGCAGTCTCATTTGAATTATAAATTTCACTTCATTCCATCACAACTGTAATTACATGAAAATATTGCCTAACAGGCCCTTAAAACGGGGGGGGGGGGGATTACTCACTTATAATTACGTTTGGTAACTTTTTTCCTGTTTGCTTGTTAAGGAATGTCTATTAGGTTGCCCCCCCCCAAACTGAAATTGTTTCTACGGGCCTGTCGATTGATAGATATTTAGTGGATCATTCTTCGCTAATAAATTGTTTTACTTATCTCTGTTATATTTGATTATCCGAAATGTATTTAAAAATTCTAAATCATACTACCATTCGAAATATTTATATCTTAACCTAGTTGTTGTGTTATGCATTTACACCATATAAATATGATCAGACTGCGGGCACAAATAGAAGCGAGGTAGGCAAAGAGGGACAATGGTGTTTGTAGGCAAAGGGGACATGGTGTTTGTAGAGATGTCAGATATCTTACAGATAGTCAACCTTCGGGCTTTCAGAATGACCACATTTGAGCTCGAATACTGTTCGTTATCTCCAAATATTTCATTTAACTGACAGACGTTCCTATGCTTTACATGGTGTGCAATAGTGCATTAACTTATCAAAAAGATATGCAATGTCATGTTTGGTATTTACCAGACAAGTATAACATACAAATGCAACTCTGTCTTTAAAAAATGAAAAATGCATTGATATCTAACGAAGGAAAAGAGAATTAGATGTAATGCAATATGAAGTGAACCTGAATGGACAGAAGTAAGCATTGCTATTCGAAAACGTAACAGACAATATTAATTGGCCAAAATGAAAATTCTCTTACACCACCTATATATATATATATATATATATATATATATATATATATATATATATATATATATATATATATATATATATATATATATATATATATATATATATATATATATATAAGCTTCGTCAGAGCTATCATCACCTCAGAAAAGTTTTTTTTTTCTGTGTGATGTATAGTTTACGAGTGTAGTCAATTTTCTTTTTGAAATATGTAAATTTGAAAGCACGTGACAATTCTTGAATAAGTTTGCCACTTAAGGTCCATTGACCCTCTGGTAAGAGAGGTAACTCTCACTGGAATACATGAATATTATTCCTTTATAAAAACTGTCGAGTTAAAAGAACATTTCTCTTTAATTTCACCCCCACATGGTATGCTGAAATTGTATGCAGTCATATTAAAAAATAGATTTCTGCTAGAAAAATTATCAATGTTAAAGCAAAATTTTTTATGAACAGAGGGATAAGGAACCTGAAGCGAATTATCTTATGATACACACCAAAGAAATAGACAGTTATTCGTAAAGTAGAAAGTGTTTACTGCAATTAATTTACCTATCTGCACTTTCTATGAGGGTAACTATAGATAGAGATACTTGAATAATTTTGGAGATTTTCTCCACTCAGCTTAACAACATTTTTTTAAGGATAAAAAGCGTATCTTTTTAAAATCTCTAATTCCCAAGTGAAAGTGATTTTATTGTGTAATAAAGTCCTTATAAGCAAACAAATGCAATTTACCAGGTTATCAGGTATTTATTAGCAAAATCGTAACAAAGTTTTTGCTACCTTGCATAAGTAAACAATAGGTGCCATTTTTGACAAAGGGGAGTTTGATTTTTTCAAAAACAATAATGACGCCTGCAGAAAACGTTACAATTCTTTTTCAACCGGCCACGAGTGAAACCTATCAAGTTTCACGTACATATCCCTTTAGACATTTCTTCAAAAGTAATGTTTCAAAGAAAATCAATGAAGTTGCACGTTACTTTTCAATAAATCAATTATTGGAGATTACTTTCGGAAGCACACCTTCAAAATTCTGCATGGTTTAAAAAAATGAGTTCAAATGAAAAATCTATATTTTCATTCTACCGTTTTTTAATTATTATTATTATTTTCTCTGCTTGTTTGTATGTGTTTGATTTCCTTTTTCCAGTTACACAAGTTTAAACATTCCTGGCCTACACTTATAGACTATTTTAAAATATCACTTTTTATAATTCATCGTTTACAATACTCCAACAAATTCACGCTTATAAAAAAAAATTCATGTGAATGTTCTGCTATCATAAAAAATATGTTTCTGATATCAGATTTTTTTTTTCCGAAGACAAGCATAAATGCAGGAGACGTTATCTTTAAAAAACACTTGTACATGTATATAATTTAGTTGAAATCGGGGGAAAGAAATGTTGCTTCGAAGGTATAGATAATCAGGCCTTCATGTATTATTGCATTTAAGTGTTTTGGTAAGTCATACTTTGAAGAATTTCTTTGTACTTGTTTTAGCTCTAAACCCTTTATTGCAAACTTCTGATAAAATGTTTGATATGAGGGCTTTTTTGCACCTATTAGAGTATTAGAATGAGTATACATTCCATATTCATCCCATATTATGTCATGTACCTCCATAATGGAGCAAGCCAAAAAGTAGACATATTATTCATTACACTGTTATATTGCCTGTTACATTGTTAATTAAGTTCTTACATACATGTTACTTGAAACCTAAAAAAATGAAATATCACTCACATTTATTTACAAGCAACGAAAAAGGAAAAACTCTAATATGCAATCCAATTCCAGCGTGATTAATAATTCACCTAATCATCTAATGTGTTTTACTGTATATTGTACGGAAAAAAAACGATACGCCTCCGATGTGTTCTACATGATCGTTCGAGAAATTTGAAGATTTCAATATTACTTAAAAATTAAAGAAAATTGATACTTACAATAAAAACCAATATGTCAGCCTGCACTTGGGAAACTCGGCAAATTGCTGTAATATATTGCCTGTGAGGAGTAAGCATCCCTGTAAGCTCTGTGTGTTTAGAGTTAATTCCAAAGAGGCTGTGATACATCTATCACCTTGCTTTCTTCAACACAAAGAATGAAAATATTATCAATAATTTGATTTTCATCTCCAATGAGGAGACAAAATTAGCATATGCAATACCTTGTTTTTTAGTATGTGCGTTTGTCATTTCCTATCTAGAATTTTTCCCTCATATGGAGACTCCACGGTGGAGGGATGCAAATTTACATCTATACTCGGCACTCAGGGCCATTGTGCAGTGAGGGATCTTTTTCGTGCACGCACCTACTGTCACACGGGTTCTCGGTTTATAGTCTCATCTGAAGGATCGGTCTCAACGTCCCGCAGTGGATTTGAACTCACGACTTAATGATCAGCTTCTTACTCTGCGACTCTAGAGCAGACGCTCTAACCACTGCGCCACGCGGGCGACGAATACAATCTATAATTAGGTCAAATGCAATTTGAAGTAAGTTTGATTGAAATTAGTCCAGTGCTTTAGAAAATAGTCCATCGAGTTCAATGAGCTATTTTCAAATGTCACTAATAGAAAAAAAGGACACATTGTTAGTATAAATTTTATACAAACATATCCCTGAGATAGAAGAATTGAGTCACATAAATCTTTTTAATTATTGAGCAATTGATAATGCCTTCTGCACAAGAGTATAATCAGAATCATTCACAGAACTACCCAAAGACACTTCTACTACATCAACTGCAGTAACAAAGAGGTTTAGAAAATTTATCAGTGATACAGGACGATTGGTTGCCATATTCGTTAACTCGGTTTACTCTACCAATGACATTAAAAGATCCCTTATAGTCGAGGCTGACTGTCGCGTCAAATACTGCATTTCCGGGGACCGTTTCAAACACACTCAGGTAAGTTTTCTCTTCTGGATCAGATCGGGAAAACAAATTTCGCATGGAAAATTCCTCCTTTTCTTTTCGTCTTTGCAAATTTGTTTTTACAAAATATGTGTCCTTTATCTTTAATAAATGTAGTTTGGCACATTTTCCTTCATGTTTAGTGAGTTTTTGGTTAATGTAAGAAACTAGAAAACTAGACAAATCTTTTGAAATTTTTTCATTATTGCTTATTGGTTCGTATGAATTACAAACACAAAAATCACCAGGAATATCTGCATCTTTACATGATCGACTGTCTGGAATCTCTCGAAACAGACTTATACCACGTGGAAAGCTTTTCAGTTCAATCACGCGTGATTTACTTCGTAAAAAATTTCTTTCTAAAATGTCTACCAACGTTTCATGCGCGTCAAATGCAGTTGTCAAGCGTCGAGTATTTGTTTTCAAATTTTGATGAATATGGGGATATTTTGATTTGATATGTGGTGGAATCACAATGGCAAACAAAGGCATCCGGTTCTCTGTCCTCCCTGCTAGGGTATTTTTAATGCTCTTTTGCATTATACCATGGTCACTCATGAACATCAGTATAGAATTGGAGAGTCTGCCTGAATCCTTCAACCATTTAAAAAACAACATGAAGTCTTTATCAGCTAATTGAATAAGATTATCCCATTGATGTGTGAGTTCATTCATCCAACTTAAAGCAAATTTCCGTTTATTGCCATAAAATTCGATGAATTGCTTATAATAATTCATTAACATCATATGCTTTGGAATATTTTCCACACACAGAGCCGAAGTTTTGCCAAGATGTAAATTGTTGTTTTCCAATGAAAGCAAAGCTCTATTAGTATTCGGCAAACCGAATTTTTCCAATGATAAATAAAATGGTCTCATATAATGTAGACAAGGCTGCTCTTTGAAACCTTTCCAATATGTAAAACTTCCCATTTCTGGGAGATCTTCAGCAAAGAATGTTGTGTAGCCAGCCTCACTGAAGTTTTTCCATAAAAACGGAAATGAATCCAAGAATTCCGTAAAAGGAGGTAACTCCTTTGAAAAAGGGACCTTTCCTGTTAGTAGGCTAACAAGATTCGGAAATGTATTGGCTCCAACTTTCGTATAACCTTTCATTATGTAACCTCCTAGCTCTTCTTCAACATAACGAAGAGTGATTGGAATCGTTCTTTCTGCAGCTAATCTAGACAGAGAATCCAAGCCAAATATATACACATTCAATTGTTCTTCGGATGCATTTAAAAAATTAAACTGCTGCATTCGGGACTTATAATTGATGTTGTGGTGTAATTTTCTATAAACTGTATACTTCCATTCATTTTCGCACTTCACAATGAAAAAATCAGCTTTAACATACACAGGATGTGAAAACGCCACTTCCTGTTCGCTTTCGACGTCAAAGTCCAATAAACGCTTTATTATAGAATAGGTGCATGATATAGCACCATGTTCAGATTGTGATATAGCAGTTTTGTTCAATCTTAGAAAACCTTCAGAATCTACGAAGGAAAGATCCGATGTTTGTTTACATTGAACCGGTCTTAGATGATATAAAAATTTTGTGATTGATTTGTCATGTGCGTCTAAGTTCGGTAATTCACACTTTTTGTCCGTGTTTTCGTTGTTGTAAATGAAGTCCACCTCCTCATTAAAGTTAACATGTACCCAGGCAACAGTAAGAATTCCAATAAAAAGTGTTAAACATCTTCTGTATTTAATTCTGCATCTGTTAATTTTTTGTATGATGAAACGATGTCCCATATTCCTGAAAAAGTAATAATCTGGATTAGAGTCAATTCTTGGTATGCATAATCGAAGCAGCTCTGTCCTCTTTAATAGACTTATAACGTAATTATAATCAAGTTCTACGAATGAAAGTAAGCATACAGCACGATTAACAACGAAATGTTAACTACTTCTCCATAGAAATCTTGATTTATAAGTTTCAAAAATTGGGGATAATTTTTTCGTATGCAATTTAACTTCAACAATAGTAACAAATAGGCTGTAAAACATTCAACATCAAAGAGGGTTCTTTATCGCTTTCGTCTATATTACCTCTTTGATTTCGAAAAATTCTGAAAGATTTATTATAAGAGAACTATGCTAAATCTTACTGTTGGCATTGTGAGTGAAAGTTCATTTTGATTTCTGTCTGAACCAGCCTGCAGATTTGATTTTTAAAAGCTTTTGTACAACACTTAGAAATTGATAAGTCAAGAGTCTTTCCGAAAATCAAAAAAAGGATAGAACGAAATATGATTTTTTTTTTTTAAATCATTGCATTGGTATAAATCCATTGCGAATGTCTAGTTTTGACACTTCAACTAGTTTGCTGACTCCTCGATGTAAAAGAAAATTTCAATAAAACAAGATGTTTGTGATTGCCTGAGAACCTTTAAGACTTAAATTTATTCAAAGTATATATTTTATCAATAGAATCTTAACAGCAATCTGTCTGGGTGCAATGATTCAGAAAGTGTCAAGAACTGTCTTCTTATTTACAAAAAGAGAACAGCTGGGAAGGGAAATGTTTTAACTTATTACATAACACATGCATCAGATCTGATAAATAGATCATGCTATTTGAGGACTCTGAATAACACAAAAAAAGAAACAAACATTGTATTATGTAATTTCAGTATATATGTTGAACGAACTTCAGATATCATAATATGATAAGGAAACTTTTGATCACATAATTGAATATCTTTAAGGACCCCTTTTTGACCTCTTGTTTAGTACTCTGACTTCCTGCTTTCTCAGTAATGGTCAGAAAAACATTTAGCTTGATAATTAAATAGGGGAATTATCACAATAGCCACTGTCATACTGTAGAGAAATACAAAGTTGCAGACAAAAACTTTAGCAAAAATTCATGAGATTTATCTTCCCACTATTAAAATCGAATAAAATTTAATTATCAAAAGAAGATGGAGACAAGAGACTAAAAGGCAACAACGCTCACAGAAATCATATCTTTCTTCTTAACAAATGATTCTTAATAAAATCGCGTTTTGCTCTTCTTAACTTAAAATATGCTTTATTTCGGTAACTTTTATCTACGTTATTTTAATGCATGATTTTAAATTTACCTACTGTATCGGGGTTTTTTTTTTGTTTTTGTTTTTGTTTTTGTTTTTTTTTTCTTTTGGAAAAAGGCCGATATTATCACATTCATAACTTTTACTACTAGCAGTACCCCTATCCCAAAGACTTTGACTTTTAAGAATAAATGTACATTACTTAAGAATGCTTGCAAACAAAATTTAAAAACCGCAGTTCATGTTGTTCTCTAAGGGAAAAAACAACTCTTATACACTTCTGTCAAATGTTCATCCAATGGTGTGGTCAAACCCTATGAATAATTTTACTATCAATTTTTTTTCAGTTCGCACTTCGACATCTCTGCAAGCTAATTTCTATAGCTATGATTTGAACAACATTGAATCTACATTTTATATAAAAAGTTATCTTTGTAATATTTGTCTCTGGTTCATGAGGTGATTTTAGATAGATACCCAATTTAACATGAATCTGTACTTATCTCCTCATTAGAGCAAACTTAGATCTTCCGTACCCATCGATAATGTGTAACAAATCGAGTTAAAGTTATTCGAGTGGGGCTGGAGAAAAATTGAAAAATGTTAAAACCTTATCAGAGTGACAGATGATCATGGTCAAAACTTTATAAGAAAAACTCACTTTTTGTGAACTAAAGGTGTCAAGAAATCCTCCATAAAACTTCCTAGGCAAAGTCAAACTCAGGACTTTTCTTATCAACCATCTTTTGTGAACCTGCTCTTGTAATTACAGCCACACACAAATTTACAACATATTTCTACTTATTTGGCAAGGAAAAACATACTTAACATGTTTCCTGTAGACTACCGAAGTTTTTTTTTAACTTTGAACTTAAATTGTTTGTTCAATGTGTGCGAATAATACAACTATCTAGTGTATAGTTATTATCACTTTGTAAGCAAGAAAGGGGGAGGAGTAAAACCAGAAATCGTGAAGCATATGTACATGTCTATATGCAAAAGATTGGCTGTAGTAATCAGAAGACTTTATTGCTTTATACTTATCATAAAGGAAGGGGGAAACAGGACTTTACATTTTGTATTTACAAAAAAAAAAGTTTAGTAAAGTTTTGTATCAAATCAGTAACTGTTGGATGGGTAGCATTTTGAAAGGTTTTCAGAAGCCATTGCAACAATGTCTGTCGAAATCGAAATTACATCAATAACACTGTGTAGTTTACCTGTATACCATTTTTTTAAACTTATAAGAAAAAATGCAGAAAGGTTTGCATTTTGAAAGAATTCCACAAAAAATATATAGTTTTAGTTACCATGGAAACACCATTTTGACATTAATAACCTATCAACAAAAAATTGCATCTAAGTGTAATATGCATAGGTACCAAGTCTCATTCTGGTCGGACAAAAAAAACGGTAGAAAGAGTAGCGTTGAGAAGGATTCCAATGAAATTTCTATTTCTAGAAACCATTGTAACACTGTTTGTCGAGATCAAGAACTGATAAATAAAAGTATCATTTTAGTGTAATATTCTTGTTTTCCTAGACTTTTTTTAATCAGACCAAAACTGTAAGAGGAGTATTATTTTGAAAGAATATCACAGAAACTACTATTTCTAATAACCATGGCAACAAAATTATATATACACAATTATGTATCTTAGTGTAGTCTACTTGTGTTCCAAATTTAAATGAAATAGGATAAAAAGTGGAGGAGTAGAAAATTTTTAAAAACAATATTTACAGACAAACAGACGATCATATAAGATCTTCTAGAAAAATAAACAAAGCGCAAATGTTTTATTTACCCAATCCTAAACATGTATGTGTCCTTTCACCACTTTCTGTCCTTTTGGAATTAAGAGGAATTAGAACCCCCTCTTCTCTCATAAAATACTTTTTCTGATATGTTGTACTCCTTTTTCCTATTTTTTAAATCAGATACTTACAAAATTTACCAATTTTTTTGTTAAATAATGACATTGTTTATAAAAGTTTTACAACAGGAAATTATTCAAAACTGTTTTTCATGCATTAAAAATTGATGACTAAGCAATGGAAATTATAAGCTGAACTTCCTGATACTAAGTCTGTAGTACTAATTTAATATTTTTGTCGTCCATTTTTAACAGAAATTCTCTATATATGTCAGAGCATAATTAATTTGCGTAAAAAGGGAGAAATTTTATCAAGTAAACTGAACCTGTTAAAAAGCTAAAACTGAATGTTAATTAACATTTACAAAAAGGAGATTAAAAATTGCACGTGCATTTCAGATTAAAAAATTATCGTGAAAATCCGATACACATAAAGACGTGCGAGAAGTGAAACAAACTTTTAATCGCCTCTTTTCAGTCAACGAATTTAATTTATTTTTTCTTAATTATAAAGAATTGACAAATAGGTACTTACATGAATTCATCAACATAACAAGTAAAAACCTACAACTTGTTTCATCTGCGAGGTCAGATCCTACTAGAAACATGGGAAATTCACAATGACAGACATTCAGTACTTGTTATGCAACAGCACTCTTCTATTTTAAGCATCTAAATTTTAACAAACAGTATAATTAAATGCAGAAGTACGTACACTCTACGAACTTGCTAATATCACGTTAAACAGATTCTCATTACAGCGTGTTTGTCCCGACAGAACGCTGTCTGGGTCATCTGCACGCGCATATGCAATGAGTTGACAAGTCTTAATGGGTCTGTCTACATTGGCCTTTGGGTTTGTTTTTGTATAACTGGAAAATCAAAAATGCAATTAATTACTTGTAGCTCTTAAAAATTGTTATCAATTCAGCTTTTCTTAGTATCGTGACGGGAATAGCTTTTACAATTTAATTACATGTACGTGAACATCGATAATTTTTGGGGCAAGAGATCATACACCTCAACTGCTTGAAAATTGGATCCGTAGCATGAACCCATTGTTAAGGGTGAATTACACACACTCATTCAAAATATAACTATTTATGGAACATTCAGTTTACTAAGTAGTTCTTTATTAACTTTGAGCTTTTCAGCTCATCCGTACAAGTACAGTACCCGCATCGTTATTCTTTACAATTCTATCGTGTCCTATCGTGCGTTTATCCTATCGTATCGTGCGTGTATCCTGTCATATCGTGCGTGTATCCTATCGTATCCTATCGTATCGTGTTTTCCGTTTATCAGGTTTTGCGTTTTCTATCGTGTTTTCCGTTTATCAGGTTTTGCGTTTATCGTGAAGATCGTTTATCAGGTTCAATCGTGTATCGTGTTTTGCGTTTATCATGTGCATTCGGAAACCCTCGCTTTTTATCTTTACCTTGAAAAGAAACACCCGAGATATCTCGAGTTCATCTTTCGTTTTGTTAATTTAATTAGGATTAATCTAACTGTTGAACAAAAAGAGAAATTAATACTCCAACTCTGGTATATTTTTTAAAGAAAATAAATAAATAAATAAATAAATAGATAGATAAATAAATGAACGTCAAGTACCGTAACCAAGCAGAGAGCATAAATCGAAAGTCAAATTCTATTTTTGTACATGAAATAATCGATCTACTATTTGAGTCATTCGTTATTATTTTTTTTTTTTAAATTGTCGATATGTAAGAAATATTTTTGTCAAAGATAGAAATATTATAATCCATTTACACAGTCAGAGTCACAAAAGCGAGACCTTTATTAACTTTGTTTTGATAATTATAGAAACATTAAACATTAGGTATTTGTGCAAACAATAAATTATAAATTTAAAAAATATCAGTTTCTTTATTAAGGCTATCCTCTTTATCAATAACGGAAACATAAATTTTGTCTATGCGCGCAAGTTTTGTTGTTCCTTTGTATTATTATTTTTTTCTGATAAGTATATATTATAATATAGATGTTTGCCATTCATATTTGACTACTGCATTTAGAAGATGTAAAAAATAAATAAATAAATAAACAAAACCACACAAATTTTTATTATACATCTTACCTACTTCGGCGCGGAGATGAAGTAATATATACCGTAACTTAGTGACAGGTGGAAGCGCTCCCGTGACAAGAGAACTGACACCTACCTGCCTAATCAGTACACTGTCTTCTTGTCAAGTCAAGACCCCCCCCCCCCCCCCCCCCGCTTTTCCCTACATGACCGGCCCGTGTGTATTCAACGTAGACATACCTGAACTCTAGCTCTCACCTGGTGTCAAGTATTTACCTTGAACCCTAATGGGTTTCAATGAAATGCATCTACTTATTTTCTGGATATTGTTCATAATTTTTATGAACAACACTTAATTAACAATTAAAGATTTTATACTAAGAAAATTGGTAAATGTACACTTCCGTTACAGATTAAAAATTGAATAATTGAATCAAATGAAATATATACGAGGTTTGTCCTCCAAACTCCGTTGATTTAGTTCATTTGTATATTTTTATGTAATTTTTATAGGTTTACAGTCATAAACATGATTGGTGTGATCAAATAAAAAAAATGCGCTTGCGGTACTTCTGGATCTTAGGGTTTTCTGTCGTTCTTACATGTAAAGGTATCTCAAAGATGCATGAAAAAAAATCGCCCGGTTCTGCGGTGATACACAAAACTGGTAAATACCTTGTATAACTCGTATAATTCGATTGCATATTATACGTGACTATATTGAAGAAGTCAATACATATATTTTTTTTTTTATTTATTTTTTTTTTTTTGGGGGGGGGGGGGCTTTTTGAGTTGGATTTTTTTTGGGGGGGGGGTTTATGGACCCCCCCCCTTCCCCGCTGACACTGTGCCTCAAATGGGGTTAAGACTTTCATAATTTACAAAGTTTTAATTGTCTAATTTTGCCGATGTCGTCCTATATAAGATATGTTTTGTAACAATTATTACAAAGTCTAATAGCAATAATTGACAATTATTCAATCCGAAAATCGACTTGTCAAATTGTGGAAATTGATTTATTATTTATTTTTTGTGTGTGTTCTAATATGTTGTAAACAAGTGTACGTAACCTTTCAATGTTATTTAATACAAAGTTTAAGTACCCAATAAATATATTCATATACATTGTAAGCTTAGTTTACACGTATCTATAGTAGATACAATTCTGTTATGGTAAATGTTTATAACACAAGCACGCTAAGAAAGCAATATCATTTCTTTGGGGGCGGCCGGGGGGGGGGGGGGGTTCTAAAAAAAAGTTTTGAAAAGCTAACAAAAATGGCTAAAGACATTATTATTGTCGATGGGCAATATTATATAAGCATTATATTACTACTGTATACTACACATGCTGGTACACTGTAACATTTTTTTTTATTTATACGACTGCATGCTCTCTTCTAGCTTAATCTTACAGGCCTATAAAAATACCAAAATAAATACAAAAGAATGGAAATGCGATATTTTTTTCGGATAATAGATGATGAAAGATCTAGTGACGTTTATTAATTTTATCAAATTCGATTTTTTTCGCAGGTTTCCTTCCTCATATATACATATACAATGTATGTACTTGGAATGTACTTGGAATATGTAAATAATTTCTATGTGCACGGGATATATGTGACATATATAGGAGAGATTAATTATTCAAAGTCCAGTGCACGGTCTGTCTCAATGCAACTAGCAATTTCAGCAATTTTAAAACGTAAAAAAATTAATTAATTTATATAAAATATAAATCAAATTCGTAAAAACTTGGAGGAGAAAGCATTAACCTTAAAATAATTATAACAATAATTTTACACCCCCCCCCCCCAAATTATGACTAGTATTTTTTGTGTGTAAGATTTGAATTAATAAATACAAACTATTAAAGGCGATTTTGGATACTTCGCAGACTTCTAGCAAAAGATATTGAATCCAAATATTTCATTTTTTTTTTTTTTACATGTTTTTCCGTAAAAATAATCAATGTTTGTTATGATTTTCATAAGGTTTTATTTGTTAAAATAATGAATATATTTATAGCGTTTCGTGAATTTATTGCACTTGGGTGTAAAACTTCGCTTGTCTACGGACTCAAAATTCAAATTTAACGATTCGAAGGAATTTCGACATTACATTACATTACACAAAAAATCGCCTAATTTCCATCATAGAGCGGAATTAATCTTAAAATAATTACAGTTTGAATTTGATGACGATCAATTTTATTGACAAAAACACCATATCTTTTACAAAGCATAATTACTTCAAATGTTTTATCATTATTAATTTAAAATGTTTTATCATTTCGATTTGCGGCTTTGTAAGTAATTAAAATTATCATACTATAGTATATTAAAAAGAAAACTTTTCGTCTTGTCAAAAAACGTTTCGCATTTTGAAACAATCCTATCAGGTTTTGCGTTTATCCTATCGTGAAGATCGTTTATCAGGTCTATCGTGTTTTGCGTTTATCGTATTTTGCGTTTATCGTGTTTTGCGTTTATCCTATTGTGCGTGTATCCTATCGTATCGTGCGTTTATCCTATCGTATCGTGCGTGTATCCTATCGTATCGTGTATCCTGTAAAGAATAACGATGCGAGTACTGTAAATACATATATATATGTACAAGTAAGTTTACAGGAGAATGTAATAACATTAATATTATGCTTCTTTTTATAAGATACCTTAATTTAGTAATTGATAAAAAGTTATTTCGCCATTATATACATTCAGAATCACTATAAAAGCCTATAAATTTATTTGAATTGGGTAAAGCAAATTAAAGGCATGGAAAGAAATTTTAACTAATTTTCTTAAATGAATTATAAATGACTCACTTATTATATTTAAAGATCCAAATGGAGCAGTATGCATAAACTGAACTTTACCTTGTTAGGCTCTAGACCCCTATTCCAGACACAATTCAAAGGACTTTCAAAATGACGGGTAACTTTCCGGGTACATATGTTATACATGAAGAATAGATAAGGAAAAAACTTCAAGATACAAACAAAATTTTCCACATAATCGGTTGATCAATTTTCTAAGCCTGCAAATTCGAAAAAAAAGAAAAGCTTTATGATAAATGATACACCTAACCATCTTTACAGATTCTCTTCTTAAAGGCTTATATGATTTATTTATTTATTTATTTATTTATTTATTTATTTATTTATTTATTTATTTATTTATTTATTTATTTATTTATTTATTTATTTATTTATTTATTTTTGAAATGCCTAACACTTCGTGGTATGCATAATATTGAAGAAAGACATCTTAAAGAGGTTTTTTAAGTTAATGTCCTTATGACCTGTTTTTGGTCAGTCTCTTTATCTTTCTTGTGGTTTTTAAACTTTTTGTCCTTGTTCATAAGCTCTGCAGTAAACTGGATACTTAGATATTACGGTAGTTCATTAAACGCGCTTCGAGAAAAACATGTATACCTGAGTGAAAAGTATCAGGACATACTTTAAAACTAAACAGTGAAATACATTAATTGATTACAATTTAATTTATAGACCTGGAATGTTATGAAATAGAGAA